CATGAGCATCTCCTCTCGCTTTGCTGCTTGCTTCTCCTCGCCAAGCCTCAAGGCTTTAGATGCAGGCGGGTGCTTACGATATCCCTTCCCAGTCTCTGAGACCATCCCAGTTAACTGTATCCCCAAACTCTGTGGAATATGCCCTTGAAGGTTTAGGGTTTAAGGAACCTAAGATGCCAGAAGCCCGGAGTGACACTCAGGCCTTGTTCTGAATTTGGAGGAGCTCACCAGGTTATTAAGAACCAGGTGGCACTTCCGGAAACTTTTAACTTCCCTCTTGGTTCCTATAGAGGTGCCTATTCATAAATACCTTTCAGAGCCCCAAAACTACAACCCGGAGAAGGACACCGGCCCTAAATCGTGTTCTCCGGTTTTCTGGATCTTATACCTAACTTCTGCGGGTGTCTGACTGTCTCCGCGGTTTGCGAGTCTGTATTTCTGTGGCTGTTTGTCTCCACGTTCTGCCTTTGTGTCTTTGCTCTCTGTTGGCTAAGACGAAAATGAATCGGCAATGATTGTCAGAGTCAGCACTACTACCTCGTTCTCCTGCCTTGCATGCTGTTATGGTTCGAGTTGCCGAACCACCTGGCGAATTCGTCGGTGGTGTGTTCAGAGACAGGTGCATAGACCTATCTCCTCACAAATATGACACGGCTGCCGCGACGATGGAGCTTCATCCAAACAACGGCCAGGCAAAACCATCACCTGAAATATGACAACACACCCTACCCATGCTATCTTGCGGTCCTTTACACGTCGCATGCCCTTGATTCAGCAGAGCCCTGAGGCTCCAGGGACCTAAAAAGCAGCTTGCCAGCCATAAAAGCGATGTACTGTACCCCAATCACCCACTATTTCCGTAACCGGAGCCCAAGTCCACCACGGGGTTTGCGCCACGGCCATGGCTGGTCTGCGAAATGGCGGCAGAGCTCTGGCCCTGCTGCTGCTTTTGCCAGTGGTACTGGGAAGATACGACAACGAGCAGGCCAGTCCATGCCAGAGGTGTGGATTTAGGGATAAGTCTATGGCTTCGGGCTTAAATTCCGGGGTTTAGGGTTTAGATTTGGGCGTACATATGGAGATTTACTATATACCAAAGCAGCATTTCACGAGAGACCTGCGCGCAGGTGCCTTTTGCCTAGTGGCGGTGGTTCGAGTTTACTACGAGCGAAAGCACAATATCCAAAGTCCAAAGAATCTGTCAGGTCGCCTTTAGCACAACAAAAAGTTTGGGGGCACTGGTGAACTCCTACAGAAATGTGCGAAAGAAGTACAATCACAGGACAGGCTTTTAGCCGCTGCTTCTACAGAATTCCTTAATTTCTGGTGCACACGAATCTGTTGGCCACAGGCTTTGTCACAGCGTGCAGTCTTGGCAGTCATAGCTGAGTATTTGTCTATATATCTCCCCTAAACCCTAAAACCCCAAAACCGTAAAGCGTAAACCCATCGCCACAAGACCGCTTCACCGCGGCCGCTGAACAGGTGAATGAAGCCCTTGGCCGACGTTTGAGGTCAAGAGAAGCCCGGCTATTTGTGTAAGGAATTGCACTCGTGTTGTACAGGTGCGGCAAAAACGGCGATGTATCCTTTTTCATAGATCCTGATAAGCCGGAGGTTCCTGAGCTTGTCGTTGTGTTTACTGCTGTTGCTATTGCAGCCTTGCTGCACCATGACGCTGACGAAGACCAAGTTCAGAATGACGACAATGGCGCCGATGGCAACGGTGACGACGACAGGGAGAGGACGACGGCGACGATAGCGACACCAAGGATGACGGCGACTTTGACGACAACGACCAAGATGATGAGAATGAGTGTGACGATTCCGATCATGGTGGGTGCTCGTCGGCGCCGAAGAGTGCATTTGCCTCTGCCACTGGTGCCGGAACCGAGCGGACGAGGAAACTCTGAGTATGCGTCTCTGCTTCCCCGAAGGCTCCAATCAAGCAAGACCTCGACGGCCTTCTGCAACAAGAGATGTAAAGTTAGCGTTCTGTTCTTGCTCTTTCTTAATAGCTGTTATTATGAGTAGGAATAAAGATTCTGCTATTATCATAAGTAGTCAATTAGTCCTACTGTTGTTGTTTGTCACTGTTGTCAGTCGTGTTATTCGTACTGCTGTTAGTAGTATTGTTGTATGCAAGCTGATGCAATCCATTATCCTCTTGCCTCAAGTTTCGGCGTGAAATGGCCCAGGAGCTGCCAGAAGGACTGCGTTTGAAGGAGGCCGGTGCTTTCCAGAAGTAAGTGGTAAACCTAGCTGATCAATGAGACTCAGGGCGAACATCGGCTTCAGTCGGTACTCACAGTTCGGAGGGTTGGCCGCTCGTGTTTTGGTATCATTCCATTGCCCTGCCTGTTTCTGGTATTGCCATCTGTTTGGTACCAGGATTTCAGCTGTTGCATTTTTCGTGGCGATCCTTGGAGCTGTTGCTAGCATTGCCGCAGTGTTTCGGACTCCACATTCCGAAGGGGCGCGTGTATGGCTCTGGCAGCTCCTGTAGGACGACAGTTGGCAACACCGTTTGCCTATGCAGCGCAAAATCATGAAAACCCTAGTCCAGCGATTCAGGTTCTTACAACAGCCGGTCCAATTCTGTGGTGTTCAACTGGGCTTCCGCATACTTGAACGGTTCATTGGTTTCATTGCTGAAGTCTAAGCGCTGGCTCTTCGATAATCGTCCTGGCTTGTTGAGCCGCAGTAGGAATAAGCATTTTTGTCTTTCCCGCAGACCAACCGGACGTGTTCCCCAGGTTGCACCTACATTCTTTCACTAGTAAGGACGCCTTGTCACTAGGGCGTGGGTGTGCAGCAATGTAGAGGGATGACACACGCCAACTTCCGTGAGGAGCTGAACACCAGCCTTGCCTTGTACGTCTTTCCTACCTGGGACCTGTGTCTTGACTTCGTCGCAGATACCCGACGTTGAGGGTTCAGAGATATTCAAAGGTTCTTTCGCGCACCTACACTCCAAAGCCTGTTCTAACTGTTCAGGCCCCCAGTAATGGCCGTATCATATACTCTAACGAGTCAGGGCACTCCACGGCCTTTGGCCTTTCAGTGGCCGTTGATCTGGGTTTGAGCTGATCGGTTGGCATGTGAATTTCATATAGTATAGGGACCCTAATAATTATCCTGGGCATTTGGGGTATATTCTAGCACAACTATGTGGGGACCATGAGGGAAATGTTGCTGGCTGTTAAGGCCTCTATGTTTCCTAAACTCAGGTTCCTTGGCTTCAGCGACCGGCACAAGAACATCCAGGGGAAGATGAGCTTGACCTTCTTTTACTATACGGAGTCACTCAGGCAGCCGGGGAGTGTAAGACTAGCGAAGGACGAGCTTGCTTGCTTGGGCTCTTGAATGGGTACATGACGTATGTCGATGATGTCCCTCAAAATGCCAGCCGTGTACTCAGACAAAGAGTATGAGTACGCCTGCACAGAGGCCTAAGTAACTACCAGAACTAGATCGGGTTTCTTATTATACATGTTGTCAAAATATTCAGGCCCCTGCATGACGCTGGTGTTTTCCTTAGGCGTGCGCTGCACAGCCACTGCGAGAGGGTTGTCGACTCTATGAGTCCACTTCCGATAGACCGACGGGGCAGCCGATACGGCTTAGGTTAAGTTTCAGGGTTTCGGGGTTTAGGGTGTCGGGTTTAGCGTTTAGGGTTTGTAAGGGGTTTGGGTTAGAGGGGTTTAGGGTTCAGGGGGGTGGTCGGGACAGTATACTTCCTAAGCCCGAATCTCAAAACTCTCAACCATCAATGATAATCCTGGCATAATCTCTGTATGATATCAAAAGGTCAACCGTATACCCTCCAAGTGCTATTTGAGTATTGAAGGTCCTGTGTTAGTTTGCAAGTCTAAGGTCTGTGAACTTCTGTCAGCTGCCAGTAAGATTCTGTGGTTGGTAGCGGCAGCGGTGCTCGAGCGACAGCTGTCGGTTGATCATTCTGGCATGCTGCTTGGGGCTGTAGAGTATAGATCATCTCTCAAGGTTATGTGGCATGTTCGTCAACAGTCTTGTAGTGTAGTCCACCGCACAAATTGCAAACAACAGTTGCCCGTGCTGTTCGGGAATGGCCATTAGTTACCCTATTCGTGTTATCCGACGTAGATGCCGGCATAGGCCGACTCTTGCTGTCTTACTGCTATACTACATGCTGGCGATTTGCATGATGTACAGTGATTGCATGATGATTTGAACTCCTCGGCCAGGATCGTTTCCGATCCGCAGCTCATCGTCACTGTTGACAACTTCGGAGACGGAACACGGCATCTCGACCAATTCGGGCTTTCTGAAGACTAGAGGCCATTTTGCAGGCGTCCATAGAATATATCCTATTCATGCTTCAGTTAAAAGGTTCGATATACGGGCGACTTACTTTCTTTCTGAGCCTCCCGCGTCAGTCAATTACTGGCACCGATGTTCTTGCAGGCTTCGGCCGTGAAGGGGTCAGGGCCGGTTTCGGTATCCGGCATGTGTTCAGGACAGACACGTGTAGTGGGCAGGCTCGTGCATCATGCCGGTGGTTGAGCTCCATTGAGTTCATGCAAGTACATCAAGTCAGGCATGCCTCTGTCCGAAGCCTTATTTCTCCTGTCCTTTCAATCTTTGCCGATGCAGCTGTGATCACCTTGAACGCGTAACACTGCAGCTGCCGCAAACTTGAACATAGGTGGCGATGCACTGTGTTGAAGCTTCTTCTGGCACTTTGCATTCGTGCAGGCAGCACGATAGTCCAGAGCCATCTTTGTACAGACCGAGACACTTGGAGTTTCAAGCCTGACAAGAGGTTTCGGGTATCCAAGTTACAAGACAAAGAGAAGGTCTTCTCAAGAACAGATGCCTTTCTGCTGTTCTAATTTACCCCTCCCCGTTTTCGGTAAGCGCTATGCTTTTGTCCAAAGGCTAAATCTGCACGCCCTCAAGTCATGAAGGTTTTGCAGCCCAGCAGGTACCTGCAGGGAAAAATCAACCTCCTCGACGCCATGGGGCATGAGCTCTTCACAACCAGCAGCCTGTTCCAATCTACGGTTCAGAGTTCGGGTTTGGGGTATATAATATGTAGGTGTTCATTGTGCTTTCGCAGTTAAGTCCATTCTTTGCTGAAGAGCCATTCTGCAGGCCTGCATCGACAGCTAATAGACTGAGGGACAGTGTTGGCATTTGATGTTTGTTTCTTCGGCACTTCCCAGGTGTTTACTTTCGTCAACACTTGTGTTAACACAGGCAACATTTACGTTGGGTCCTTCTCGCAGCAGCAATCGAATTTCGATCATCTCTGCTATCCCTTCGATGACAAGACCGTCAAGTTCGACATCAGTATTCAGGCACCTGGAAATTACATCTTCGATCTCGCCCTTCTGTGCCCGGAGCCTCTGCTGGCGGAGAACCACACGTACGGCGAGGATGGAGAGGAGATTGTTACCAAGTGCACCTACCCTGCTGTTGGCATGTCCTTGGGCTTCGACTGGGGCAAATTCATTTGCGAGGCCAGGGAACATGCAGAGTGAGTTTTGTGGGAGATTTGTTCAACTTGACGAAGAACCTTGCGGACAAATGCACCACCTGCTGGACATGCCGTGAGGGTTGGGGCTGGGGTGGGGGTGCAGCATATGTCAACAGCTTGGCGTCGCCAACGCCGACCACATGCGTGTTACGTGCTACTCCAGTCACTTTTAGGATACAAAAGCAGCCTGCATGCACATTATATATGTGAGTACGTATATAACATCTGTCTATATATATATAATTTATGTATTTACGGTGTGATTGCTGAACCTTGCTGAGTGTATTTTCAATTGACAAGCACGTGCACATGTCGCATTCCGCATCAGTGGGTTCGCGGCAGCCACAGAGGAACTTTGAAAGCTACGGCTTGAAGCGGCTGCTGGCTTGGGGGAGTGAACTCGGTGCTTACTGGTGTGGTCGCGAGTTTAGGTTGCTGTTTAGCCTTTTCAATGGCATGGCTCGCGCACGTGATGTTACTAGCCATTTTCACGACATTGAGATACATTTAGCAGGCCTACGTAGCATTTGCCAGGTAATGTGAGGGAGCAAGGCTACCAGTATTTCAGATGGCAGTGGCAGCAACAAGGGTTTTCGAGAGCCCATAGAGTCAGAAAAGATGGCAGGCCAAGGGTCGGAGGCCCAATCCACGGGCAGCAGGCTCAAAACGAGCAAAGACACAGTTAGATGGAGAGATACGGAGAGTTCCAAATTCCCCGAAGCCTCCGGAGTTCTTTGATCACAGCCCGAAAGTCTGCAGCAAAATCGGTTTGCTGTTCCTGTAGGATAGAAAGGTGACATCCGTGGCAGGCGAAAGAGGCTCAGATGATCCAGTGCTCGATGACCGGCGTCCGGGAATGGTGGAGCATCTTCAAGGCCAGAGGCTTTGTGGCCTTAGGGCTTCGGGCCTCTAGCCATGAGGTTCCAAGGTTCGAGGGTGCTGAGGATCTGTATGAGTTCATGGTCTGCAAAATCTTAACGGTCTTGCGAGCCTTATGTCGTGTTCAAGTTCTGGTATGCCGTGCTCGAAAGCAGTGCGGTGCGTTCAGTTTTCCCATGCTGGCATTGTGGATGATGCAGCCCGTTCCGATCGCCATAAGACTGTAGCCTGTCAGTATGCAGCTGATTACTTGCCCGAGGTGTGTATGTCACCTATACCATTTGGGGCGAACACATGCGTCTTCGCCGTGCGAGGTCTTCTTCATGTCCTCATGCTGAGTTGCAGGGCGTCCGTGAACAGATTGTCACACATGAGTTCATGAAACATGTGTTCTTCTCTGAAAGTTGAGGTTGATCGACGTCAGGGTCCTTGCCTATCCGTCTTGCCTGCACATAAGAAGTGTCGGGACGATCTCAAACAAATGAACATTAATGGGTTGAAGCGAGGGACGGGTCCTTCATCGTCGCTGGCGCATCTGCACAGACCGCAGCATCAGTACTTGTATAAATGCCTGCATCTTGCGCACCATCATCGTCCCCGCCCGAATCATCATTATAATCATCGCCACCAGCAGCAACAACAACATGGTAATGGAACGTCGGGCTACCTTTTCATCGACGTCGTGTCGAAACTGCTCCGTCACTCCCTCTGGCAGTTTGGAGCCGGAGTGCCTGACAGACACACACACACACACACACGACACACACACACACACACACACCACACCACACACACACACACAAACACACACAAACACCACACACACCACACACACCACACACACCACACACACCACACACACCACACACACCACACACACACACCACACACACCCCACACACACACACACGCAAACACACACACACACACACACACACCAGGAGGCTCGCCGGGAGCCTGCTTCAGTTGTAGACCTCGCCCGGTTTGAAATCCTGGTTGCCAAACGTGCCCGAAGTGTACACAGATCAGTTATTTATTATTTCAAGCCAAGACCGCAGATTCGGAGAAGGCACTCCTGGAGCCCAAGCCCTCAACTTCAAAGCGGTCAGGGCTATTTCTGGCCGTCCTTCACCTTCAGCGCCATGGGCTTCATCTCCTTCACGCTAAACGTGAAGATGTCGATGCCCAGAGCCAGCCCAGCAGGAGTTTAAAAGGGTAGGGTTTAGCGTTTAGAGGTCACGGTTGAGATACGAGCTGTGTAACACACTTCCTGGATAGTCGCCTGTAGTGTTCCCGAAACGACCCTCCAATTGGATTGTTGTGGCTGTTGGAAGTTACAACGAAGTAAGATTAGGTTCCTAGTGTTCCTAAGAGCATGCAACAACGCCATTGTAAGTATGAAGGCCCCAACCTAACATGCGAAGAAACCCAATGGAGTCCCGTGGCAAAAGGGGTGTTAATGTGTACAGGTGAGCATTGCAATCCGGACGCCAGGTCGCAACCACGATGCTTGCGCTGATTTCCTTGACGAATCTGCGGAATTCCTTGGTCGAGATACTGCCTGCTTCAGGTGAAACAAGTTGGATGGAGGAGCGGCAGGCTTGTTTAGAAGCCATATACTTAGGGTTTCGGGTATTTGGGATGACTACGATATATTACTGTGTAAGCTCTCCGGTTCGAATGCCCAATGGCCTTTTGTGTTTGACAGCGTAAGGTGCGTGGAGGTTCCAAACTGTGGCCCAAGGAAACCATGTCGTAGGCTCTGGCAGCATGCGTCGTGGCAGTGTTGGAATCAGAGGGGCATTCACGCCGGTTTCAGGCCAACTTGATCGTGATATCGAACAATGTTTGACGTTTCATCTTTTGGTGTAAGCATGCTTCCCGCCGTGAGACTGTGCTTCGGCGACTGCATCATATCCAAGCCGACAAGTAGTGATGGGCGCAAGCGAGGAACGAATGCCTAACACATTCCGCATGTGAACATTGTGTTGCAGTTGTGCCGGTTCTCGTTGCAGGAGTACTTTCTGCTTGCTATGACCTTCATGCTTCTGAACTTGTGCGGACACGCGATTTCCTTTTACTTGGATTCAATCGGCAAGACGACTCTGCAGCAGATGACGAACAAGATCAATTTGTTTGGCCACTTCGTCCGCATCCGAGAAATTGCGTCCCTGACATAAGGGGCTGCATGTCCCGCAGTTCTACACAGCTACCAGCATTTCAGTTCTGGAGCTTTCGAGAGGTACTGCCAGTAGGTTAACAGACGAAAGCCTGGCTACGACGCCGTGACTTCGAAGAGGTGACCATCCAGTCGTTCAGCCTAGGAATTGCAATTGTTCTATAACATGAACCATTCTCGAGACCTGTTTATTCGTGCTGACCACTGAAATGTGCTTGATCTACGCAAGCTGACTTGGCCAAGCTACGAAATCTCGAGCCTGGCTTGGCCATCTGCCTCTGCATTTTTCACATCTATCTCAGGAATGGTATCTATCGCAAACCTGGTCGTTCTAGCACGCCTGCATGAGCGTAACTGTCCACTCGTCGACCGTCGCTTGGCACGCAATAATCACACGATCTCATCGTAAGCCCTTTGCGATTATCGTGCAACATGGTCCCTTGCAGGCCGTAGGGGTAAGTTATCCTCAGCTGCCCCATCAGGAAATTATGAATGTTTAGAGCGATGTACAGGCACAGTCTTACAGAGTGTTGCCACTCCTGTTAACGTTCTCCTGACTGTCACTAATTCATTGTGGCTCGTGGCAAGATTGGTCTTGTTGCTGTTTGATGTTGTTCACACTGGAGAACAATGTCGTTGCAATACATACAGGCAGGCGCATGTGGACTGGTACTGCAGCCGTTGTTCTGAGTGGGCATTTCGAAGACCAGATGCTTCCGTTCAGAGCAGAGGCTGGTCTGGCCACTTACGTGATTATCCGATGGACCGCTGTACTGGAAACTGTAAAGCCCCCAAGTTCGCCGAACAAGGAAACGGCTCTCGAACACTTATGGCGTTGGCTGAAACGTGTTGGTTTCGGGCTCAGGGTCCGTGGGAGCTTGCGTCGACTTTGCAATCTTTGCACCGCTGGCAAGCTCCAGGCACTCTCAGCACAACTTTGGTGGTGCTGTCCAGTCTCATTGTCATCTTCGTATTTGCCGCCATCGCGTGGTGTTACCGGGTGCCCAGCCCTTGATAGCTGTATGTGCAGGTTTGAGCTGCTGTGTATGGGCAAAGGCTTGTGCCCTTGGATTGGAGCTTGAAGGTTTTTGGTGCGTTCGGGAATTGAGTATGATGAGACGAGCGGGCGGGTCTTGGATCCAACACCCTGAAACCATGTCATCGCAATGATCTTGCACAGGGCAAGCAACTTCAATAGGGTTACGTTTGTGAGGACAGTTGCGATACCGATAGCGGGCATGCTACTGGCGAAAGAAGAAGACGATGTTGATTTCGCCGATGTGGCTGTAGGTAGCTTTTGCTGCTGACGGAGATGAAAAAGATATTGTGACGGTCACTGTGAGGATGATGAAGGCGCAGATGATGATGACGATGCTCATGAAGATGGCGGTGGTGATGAAGAAGAAGACGATGATGATGAGGCGTTGGTGATGATGGTGATGGCAATGCAGCTGCGCTCCTGATGATGTGCATATGGTGATTTTGCCCTTAATGCGGGTGCAGATGCCTTTGAGAATCTTATAATATTAATCGTGTGGAGCTGATAGGTTCCACAGCGTTCAACGAGTGTTACTATGTGTTTTTGGTTTGGCGGCATCAGTGTCGCGACATGTGCCAATACATGAAGAACTTTAGGCACTTTCGGCATGCGAAGCGGCAAATATCAATCAAGGTAGAAAACCCACGGTTTGAAACTAGTCTAAGATTGCACTGATTCTGCTGAGGTTTGTTCCTGATTATTTGGATACCAGGGGCATCATGGCGACCGTTTTGTCACGATCACCATCATGCTGTGCATGTGTGTGTGTGTGTCGTGTGCTTTGCTTCCTGTAATGTAGCTCGTTGCAGTGAACTCTGTCAGAGTTTCTTGGTTAACGTTTAAGCATTCCCACCAGTGAAAGTTGTGTTGGGCAGCATACTGAATTTTCAACTTGTTGCCAGCGAATGTTGTACCTTTTTTGAATCCTACCGGGGCTTGCTGTTTTGGATCCATCGTCTCTTTTCGCACGTTCCTCGTCATCGGGCAGCCACATAAGCACCGTGCCTAGGGCACACCGCGGAACACCTGCGAGCTTGCTGTTAAGACCAGATGAGTAAGTCAGTTAGTCAAGACCGAGCCATGTTGGTAGGATGCTGATGTCTTACAACCCCTCAAGCAGCTACCCTTCCAGGATTCTTTCCGAGAGGTGAGCCAGATCATCTCACGGCGGATGGCAACGCGGGTGGTGCCCGTCTACAAGGAGACGGACGACGTCGGTGATGACATCCATGACTCTGGCAAGGATGTCGACTAGACTGGGTGCTCCGCTTGTGTCACCTTGGAGTGAAGCAGCTCCTCATACCCCGTGCTTGCAAAAGGTGGTGGCCGCAAAATCTTTCTGGCTTTGGTAAGGGTTCAGGGTGAGGGTTTCGGAGGTTTTGGGATTACGGTCTCAGGGTTTAGGGTTCGGAGAGCTGCCGGAGATGGCATTTGGTGCTTGGGTTGCGGTGTCGAGGCTGAGTCCAAAGAGTTGGTCTGAAGTTTTCGGATGACACTTCTTGTCAAGGTCCCAGTCAAGGTTTCCCCTTGCTGCGATGGGCGTTTGTTGTTTTTGGAAAGGTTGAAGCAATGCTCACTCCTGGCCACCACGCGATGCGCATTTGTTTGGCTTGGACTTCAAAGGACCAATTGGCAGCTCTCGATGCCTTCATCCCAGCTTTGCTTTAGACAGTACCACTATCACTACCACTGCCACGACGACAGCAACCAACCACTACTACCACTACTACAACTACTCCTCCTGCTACTGCTGCTGCTACTACTTCTTCTTCTGCTACTTCTGCTAGTACCAGTACTCCTCCTCCTCCTCCTCCTCCTCCTACTACTACTACTACTACTACTACCACTACCACTACCACTACCACGGCCCCTACCACCAGCACTGTTACGAACACCACTAACGACAGCAGCCGCAGCGGCAGCAACTGCAACAGCAACGGCATCGATCCTGAGCGTTGCATCCACGAACCCAGGTCCCTGCACAGGTATTTTCGCCTGTATAGAAGGCTTGCCACAATATATAGTGACTACCAAGTGAGACTGCGTACGCTGCAACCGGCTTCTCCTCTGCTGGGACTTGACACACTCCGCTTTGCTGGGTCTGGGAGCCGCTATAAGGGCTATCAACCAAGGATGCTGCTGTAAAGTGGAACAAACCAACGTTGTTGTGCTTTCCAGGCGGCGTTCGAAGCGTTTCGTCATCAAAGCTTTCTCAACCCTAAACCATCAAACAGCCATAATGACAACAAGCGGACAAGTTACTGTGAGAGTTGAGTGAGTGAAAACCCACATGCGAAGTAACAATAAGAAGCACAACAGAAAACGCTTGAAACAGCGCGCAAGTTCTATTCCACTGCACCGCCTTGCATGCCACTTGTCTCGCTCTTGTTCACATGCCTTCAACACTACGCCCGATCTGCGGCCACACCGAAGACAAAGGACCCCCAGCCCGCCTCCGGCTCTGGCGACCTCAGGAACGAGCTCACTGATCAAACAAATTAGCAATAGTATTCCCTTGTCCAATGATGCGAAAACTCGAATCTACCCCAAAGAAAGTAAAGAATAACCTAGCCCAAAGACCCTAAACGCTGTAGCTCCTGGATTCCTTCCTCTGAACCTTGGGCGAAGCGTCGGCCTGTCAGATCCACCTTGCGCCCTGGGCGGCGAGAGCCTGAATCAGAAGATTCTCCGGCCCGTAGATCGGATCCATGGCTGCGTTTGCTACATGGTGGTTTTCGTTTGCTGTGGCATTTTGATGGGGACGGAGGTGATCGTACCATGTTTTCATCGGCGACAAGACAGCTAGTGCAGCTTTACGACCTGTGACGTGCTTCGTGATAATCGCTGATGAGGATCATCACGATGGTGTCAATCAGGAGTACAGTAACATGGCGATGTGTACGTCCTCCTGCAGTTCCTACAGGATTCCGATCCTGCGCGAGCCATCAATATCTCCGGGCCCTCATCCCCCTCCCCAGATCGAACCCACCCTTCAAGGGCCCGAAACGAATTCTCCTGCCATGGCCGATCAATAGGTCTTCAACCTCGCAGTAGGCCAGACTCCTATGCCAGAGACGATGAAGCCTAAAGAGATCTGAAGACGGCCATCTGCTTAAATGGTTTGATTCGGAGCTTCAATTTCAAAGCCCTGAACAAGGCTTATCGCTTGCCTCTCGCGATTCTCGAGAGCCAGCAGCGAAGTCCAAGTGGTTTGCAATCAAGGTGGGGGATGTTTCTGTAGGGTACATACATGCATCATACATACACACACAGAGAGCACCCCAGCTTTTCGTTAAAAGCACAGATCCTGTCGATGCTGATTTACGGCATGACTAGTGACTAGGATGTTTTGACTTCATTGACAATCGAACCTGTCAGATGGCCCGTCGCCAGCAAATGCCGACGTCGGGAGGCACAAGGATGCTGCACGGCTTGAAAATTTTGCCCTGCGACGGGCAATGGGCTTAGGTAGGGCGTGGGCTTTATGGTTTCACGTTTTTCAGTACCCAAGCTGCCATCTGACTTGTTCTTTATTCGGTGGGACCTTGAGACATCACATCCACTCGTTCGCACTTTTAGAAATACGTATATGAGATAGTGCTTTGACCGAAATTACTACCTCATTCTTTTCGGGATCTAGTAAATTTAGTACGTCATTTACGTAGCATGCTAGTTCACTACGCTTGGGGGTTCCTTGTCTCCATGCGTCCTTGCTTTTTCCAACAGGGCGAATACGGCCTGGGAGAAGATGTTTTGGCGGTATGGCTTCCACATCCCATCATCCGGACAGCTGTGTTGGCCGCTACGTACATCTTTGTCGCTCGCTGACTTGAGGCTAATGCGGATGTTGAAGAAGGAAAGCAAGGACACCCATAGCCGGATGATCAGCGCTCGGCGTGATAGTTTTGGGTTTCGCACACTACACCACTGATGCCTCTTGAAGATCGTGTCTTCACATAAGGGCGAAGAAGGCAGGATGAAAGTCATGTGGGCCAGAATGCCTGAGCCCTGCAGGCTTGTAGCGGTGCCAAACTGGTAGCACATTACCTGCTAATCTTTCCACACCAGCATCCGTCGTCGTGTGCGAGGAGGTGGCAACTGTCCGGCTGGTGAGACCAGAGTCCGCGGAAGATTGCAGCTGGCGTACATGATTCTGGGGGCTGCCATAATCATTACCAGCGCCTGAGCTAAATGGTGTGATGAAGTCCCCGTGGCTCCGAGCATCCCTGGCAACCCCTGGTTTTCTAGTTGACTTTCGAAATTTGGCTTTGATGCTCAAACCCTTGATCAGTTAAGGTTGTTGCTGCGATAATTGAGCAGGCATGCTGACAAGTTGCGGTTCAGCTCCTCCAGAGGAGGGGGTATGAGATGATAAGATGGATCCTGACTGGTTCAGCTCCTCCAGAAGATACGGGATAAGATGGGCGACAAATCCCTGACTCCTTGAGTCGACTTGGTCAGGAAGCGTCCTGCGCGCGCATTATCCTACTAAACTCTAAGGCCTCAAAGCCCTAGACCGAACCCCCCGGCAAAATCTCTTACAGTGGATCTGCGAGCATGCAGCGCACCCTTCAGATCCCTTCCGTCTTCCGGTCGGCCGAGTTTTCAGAGAGGCTACTACTTCCATTTCTTCGCTGCCTCCACGGACGGTGGTAGCCCTACCGTTTTGAGCTGCCGGTCCGCATTCCTCCGGTACAACACCGACTTTGGAGGCCTGAGAGAGATTAAGCTTGAGCTCATAATTAGGCTTCATCGTCTCAGATGTTTGCTCTCTGCTCTCTTGTTGAGAACCTGCCAGAAAGCCAATGCGGACTCTGGGGCCGAGAGCCGGTGCCTGAGGCTTCGTAGGCTTCAGACTTTAACAGTGGTGGCTCTGATCACTTGGCGAGTTTTCGAGTTCCTGTGGGCTTGTAGTTCCGAGCGCACATGCTACAGCGACATACCACTCCTTCAGCTGCTTGCGGCTTGAGGATTCCACTCTCTTCAGCTTCTGGATTCTACCATGATGCTGTGATTCGCGCTCCGAGTGCTAGCCTGCCATCTCTAAAAGAAGAGTATTCGTGGCGGGCAGCAATGCTGGAGTTAAGTTATGATGAATCACGAAAACAATGCCAACGGTACTTTAAGAGCTTAATAATCGCCGTCGCATCCTGGCAATAAAGAACAGAATAGTGAAGTATGTTCATCACATCTGGATTGCATGTTGCAGGAGATCAGCTACAGATAGTACTGCCAGCTTGTTTGGTGATAGCAACCACAACACAGCGAAACGCGTCGCCAATTGTCGTGGACAGGTTAAAATGCACGAGCCATAGCAGCCTGACAGAATCTGACAAGGCTAATGTTAGAATGGTCTGAGACTGGCTGTCACAGTTGTGGCAAAGCCACTCCTATCCTAACCAACCTATGCTGCAACTTCGAGGTGCAGTCCAGGTGGTCGCTGGATACCCATGCGATGCAATGGCCTTTGTGGTCATGGCTTGTGCCTTTGATGCTGTTCAGATGCAGCATTGCACTCAGAGCCACCACGCTGTCCAGGGCACCCCCAGCAATGTCCCGGCACATCGGTGCAGGGTCATGCCTCCAGATTCCGGCTTGTTTGTCGGCATCATCTTGGACAGACCCCGCGCATAAACAGGCGACCGTCGGGCCGCAGAGGTACCTAAGTAGAGCGACCATTAGAGAGCGACAGGCTATGCGGTAAACTGTAAAGTTTGTGCCCTATGCCTACGCACGCTTAGATGCCTGATGTCACATCAAGCATCAACAATCGTGCAAGCAATGCAAGCTGCTTAATGCAGCAAACAGGAGCATCTTCGAACTTTTAACCGATGTCAAAGTCGGTCGTAAAGCAAGAAGTACCGGATCACTTTTGCCGCAAAAGCTTGTATCTTTGTCTCCGAGACAGACCAAAAGCCGAGGCACAGTCCTACTGACTCCAGCCTCTGGGACATGTTTCAACCCCCCCAAACCCTAGACCTCACATCTCGGGGGCTTCGGGTCTGGAGCCTGGGGCCTAGATTTCGGCAGATGGTCCCCTTTTACTGCTTAGTTCCCAGGTATGGGGAAGGGATGGGAAGGGTGTAAGAGTGCGAAGGGGTCAAGGCGTTGGCGAATAGCAGCCAGGGAACTTCGTAGTTGCAGTCTTAATGGCAATGGAATTTGTCTTTGGCCAGCGTCGCGGTGGGCATTGCAGTATCAGTTGTTGTCGGCTACTGGGTTGTTATCGATGAATAGACAAGTTTGAAAAAATTGGGTGTCGCTTGCAGAGCGCCAAGTTTGTGTTGACAGTAGGTTCAACGACACGTAGAGAGGTGCGGGCAGTAGCAGATGCAGTTGGAGGGTCGTCGCCCCCGTAGTTGTATTGTTGAAATTGTAGCAGTCGTCGTGCTTAGTTGAAACATCGGTCCCTCGGAACCGAGGAGTCATTGGCAGTGGCCCCTATAGAGCTGACTCTCGCATCTGCATTGCTGCCTGGCCACTGGTCCAGATACGATGGAAGGGCTTTGCGGCTTCAATCGTTCAGTTTCGTTGCTTCCGGCTTGTTTTGAAAACTCGTGGCTTGGTGTCTTCGATGTTTAAGGTGTTGGGGGACCGGGTTAGCACGCTTTTGGATTTGCGAATTTCGTGGGCTTCACGGCGAGTGTTTTTCTGCGGCCGGCCTCCTCAGATTAAGGTCCAGAGCCCCACATACTAAATTTATTTAAAATGGCTTTTAAAAAGTTGAACTTCCACACTGATGGAACTTGGGCCCAGTTTCAACTCTTACACTTAAGAACTAGCCATTCGTTTTAGTTGAAGCAGAAACGATGTCTGCATCTGGCAGAGGAAGCCCCACACCACGGAGCCTGAATTTTCTCGAGCACTACACTGCTACATGGTGCTATAGTGCGAAATGTTCTTCCATAAGGATGTTCACTTTGATGCTTCTGCCGTTTGCATGGTGCATAGTATTTCAACTTAAACCCAGTTTGGTTACTGTTCGAAGAAGTGCTGCCTCAGTCATTCTTGAAAACCTTTCACAACCACTGTTGGTGCAGTATTTCTGGCCCCTGCTACCACACAAGGAATCCTGATGATCCTCCATGTTGTCACCTTGGTAGTGCTCCTCATCCTCACGCGTTTCTTTGATCATATCGCCGCCACTTTCATCGTTATTATTATCATCGTCGTCTCCTCTGACTCCACCACCACCATCACCACCACCTGCTCCTGGCAACACAGCCCCCACCATCGTCACATTTCATCACCACCACCATCATCATGATACGTTTCTTCATCTGGTTGTGTCCAGGCACGCCGGTGTCATTGGTTGGGGTGGTGGCTGTTTCGAAGTAAAGTGTCTTGGCCGCAGCCCTGAAATTCAGTCGCCCCACACTTCGTTTTGATTGTTGGCTTGTGCTGTGGAAATTCTGCGAAGAAGTTATTTTGAGCTAGATTCGCGGTCTTGGCTGGTTTTGGAAAGGGTTCAGAAATGGTCGAAAAGCTGGTCTCGTCCTGGTGTTGGCGAACATGAACCCAGCTGGACCTTGTACAAGTCGAAGCATGTGAAGTTTCATGTTTTGGGCTTGAAGGCTTTCAGGTATAGGGGCAGTGGTTTAGTTGTGGGTTAATTCTGCAAGAGTTGCAAGCAGCATGAATGTAAGATCTCCCAGGCCTCGCTGTGCCCCTGCATTCCACACCATGCAGGCTTGCAAACTCCGAACAAGGAAGCGCCCGGCAAAACATGCCTATAGTAAAGACTTAGACCCATCCAATGTAGAGATATACTATAGGAGCCTAAATACTTACCTATATTATTTTGGGGGTTCCTTATTGTAACTATAGTATAATGGGCCCCGGAACCCTATTCTAATTATTAAGGCCCCAAAATAACACAGCTAGTCTCGTCGGCCTGCCGATCGATTGAGGATAGGCAGCGGGGCCGCGCAGTTCGAAGCGAGCCAACGACATGGCGTCGTTACTTGGATGTGCTTCAGGTTTTGCAGCGAATTCATGATATCAACCTTGTTGAAAGCTTTTGCCAGACGCACATGGCCGAGCATGTGGCGCTTCATGGATACATGGGTTGTAAAGAATGTCCGTGCTTAGTTGCCGGATTTATGCGTGCGTGCATGCTATGCTACGCTATGTCAATTTGTTTCTTTGTTGTGTTATATCATGACAGGCTACCATGGTTCTAGTAGTTTAGTGTGAATGTATGTGCCGCAAAGTGTGGTGTATGTTTGGGTACGTATGGGCATATGCTTCTTTGCAGATGTGGATGTTTATGTCTATGTACATGTGCATGCATGTACACATATGTATATATATATATATATACAGTATATAGATATATAGATATATAGATATATAGATATATATCTATATGTATAGATAGAGTGGATCCCACAACAGACCTTTAAAGCCCCCACAATGAGATTCCCAGGACAGTGTCGCTTTCGACTCCTGGTATCCCTTCAGCATGGAGTTCCGTCCGGCTGCGGGCCACCCGGGATGAACTCAGAAAACTGATTTTCTACAGCCCTGGAATCAGGTCCAGCGGCTGTCTGTTGGGCTCTAGCTTCTAGCCTGAACCTGAAGCACAGAGACGACAACCCAGGTTCGCAGAACTGCGGCTACGAGGCCACGCCTGCACTGCTGGCACTCAATGCCCTCCTTGTCGTTTCCTGGTCTTCAAGGTATGAAATTCCGTGGTGTGTTCAGTGTAACATGCGGTATGTCGCCAGGGCTTCTCATGACTTGTGAGAACCAGCCACACACAGGTCACTCAAAAGACACATTCGCCCATCTTTTTTCAGCTCCCATGGGAACCATTGAGATGCTTTGCTTTTAGTTCGGCTTCCACATGGTGTTGCAAGCGCTTTCGGGCAATCTCCCAGCCGCTTGAGCTCGTGTCTGCCATGCTGCAGTGGAAGGATGTCTCTACGAGTTTTGGGGTGCTAGAGACTGCAGGTCTACCTGACATGTGAGCGGGCAAACTACTGAGCTATGTCTATTCTTCCTCAGAATCTGAAAGTCTCCACTGCCCTTCCGTCCGAAGCTGGCATTACTTTCCAGGACCATTGGCAATTCCTGGTTTTCTAGCTTCGTGTAGGATTCCCAGAATGTAGCTTTTTGATATCATTCCTTGACGAGCGCTGCAAGCTGCTCCTCATCTCAAGTCAAGGCTGGTTTCCTTTGGCTTCGTCCACCAAAGCGGGTTTTCTTCTGGACAATGATCACAACCTTCTGGTGGTACTGCTGCCGTGCTGGGAACATTTGGGTTTGGGTCTAGGCGCTTGCGATCCTTCTTTGCGTCTTCGGGTGATCCAACAGCAAGCTGAGGTTTTTGACCGGGGTTTAGGACGTTGCCTTGCACTTGATCTCAAGCTGCTTTTCTGGGAGATTACGACGTTTCGGGTCCTGCTTGCGAAATTTGGTGGTTTGTGCAATTAAGGTAACATAGGGGCCTTGACAATTACCAACACAGTTTTCGGGGTTCCTTGTCATCATGATGGTATAATTTGCCGCGATACCCTGTTCTAATTGTGAAGGGTGCTAGACTAAACCCCCATAATATCCCCTGGAGTAACCCGAATGTAGAGCCTGGAGGAACCCTTGGGAACGCTGTTCCAATTATTAAGGCCCCTGTAGGCAGGTCAGGGACCCAACTGAGCCAGCTTCTGAATTAAGACTTTGAGGTGTTCAAGTCATTCTGCTGGTTTTAGCGTTTTGGGTTTAGAGTTTAGAGTTACGTTTTTGGGTGGAATCTCGAAGTGAACCTCAAGCTGATAAGCGATTTGGGGTTCAAGTCGAAGGCGAGTCAGAGTCTGATTCTGTTCGAGCTCTTGAAAAGGCTCAGGCCGGGACCGGCCAAGTCAGAACGGACACTCAATTGAGAACACCATTTTTTCAGGTACTTGCACCCGGCTCCAAACGCGAGTTACCGTTTGCAAGCCCTTTGATGCCGCTGAGGTGCGCTCATCAGCCCAATGGGATACAGGCCACTCTGCCAAAGCGATGTCTTTGGGTGGGATGTCCTGGGGGGAATTCAGGCTATGGTAGGTGGACGGGTCGGGCTGCTGTTACTGCTATAGATGGAGAGCCACAGACTGCA